AGGATGAGGTTTATTTACTACCTAGATATCAGATAAGAATTATCTTAGGCGAAGGGAAGGACAGCATACACTATAGGGGAAGTCAGCACAACTGGACTAAACCAAAGCTAAGTTTCCTGAATACAATCAAACACTTCGGGGGACAGAGTAGCAGGGGTAGGGGTCTGGGGACCATTGCTTTTCAGGGTACATCTAGGTCAACTGGCAGAATAAAGCTTATTAAGAAGATGTTCTGCATCGTACTTTGATGAGTGGCATCTGGGGTCTTAAAAGCTTGCAAGCGGCCATCTAAGATGCATCAATTGGTCCCAACACCTGGAGTAAAGGAGAACAAAGAACACCAAAGACTCAAGGAAAGTATTAGCCCAAGAGACAGAAAGGGCCACATAAACAAGAGACTTCATTGGCCTGAGACCAGAAGAACTAGATGGTGCCTGGCTACCACCAATGACTGCCCTGACAGGGAACATCAGAGTCCCGGATGGAGCAGGAGAAAGGTGGGGTGCAGAACTCAAATTCTAGTAAAAAGACCAGACGTAATGGTCTGACTGAGACTGGAGGAATCCCGAAAAGCATGGCCCCTGGATTCTCTATCAGCCCAGAACTAAAACAATTTCTGAGGCCATCTCTTTAGACAAAGATTGGACTGGACTGTAGGACATAAAGTGATACTCGTGAGGAGTGTGCCTCTTAGCTCAAGTAGGTATAAGAGACTAAATGGGCAGCTTTTGTCCGGACATGAGATGGGAAGGCAGAGAGGGTTACGAGCTGGCTGAATGGACATGGGGAACCAGGGGTGGAAAGGAGGAGTGTGCTGGCACAGTATGGGGAGAGCAATTAGGGTCACATAACAATGCATGTATAAGTTTTTGTATGGGACACGAAACTGAAAGGTAAACTTCATTTTAAATTACAACAATCAAAAAAAAAAAAGGACAAATATCGTATGAGACCTCTACTGTAAAAAACTCATAAAAAAGTTTATACACAAAAAGAAACAATCTTTGTTGGTTATGAAGGATGGGCAGGGTTGAAGGGAAACTAAACAGACAGTAGGTAAGTGGTAACTTTGGTGAAGAGTAAGACAGTACACAATACTGGGGAAGCCAGCACAACTTGTACAAGGAAAGGTTAAGGAAGCTCCATAGAAACATCCAAACTCCCTGCGGGACTGAATTGCTGGGCAGAGGGCTGTGGGGACCATGGACTCGGGGAAAATCTAGCTCAACTGGCATAACACAGTTTATAAAGACAGTGTTCTACATTCTACCTTGGTGAGTAGCGTCTGGGGTCTTAAAAGCCTGTGAGCAGCCATGTAAGATACTCCGTTGGTCTCACCCCTTTGAGAGCATGGGAGAATGAAGAAAACAAGATACAAGGGACAGATTAGTCCAAAGGACTAATGGACCACAACTACCATGGCCTTCACCAGATTCAGAGTCCATTACAACCAGATGGTGCCCGGCTACCACCACTGACTGCTCTGACAGGGATCACAACATACGGTCCTGGACAGAGCTGGAGAACGATGTAGAACAAAATTCTAACTTACAAAAAAAAAAAAGACCAGATTTACTGGCCTGAAAGACTGGAGAAACCTGAGAATATGGCCCTGGACACCCTTTTAGCTCGGTGGTGAAGTCAGTCCCGAGGTTCACTGTTTAGTCGGGGATTGGACAGCCCCATAAAACAAAACAGGACCAATGAGGCACAGCAATCCAGGAACAAGGACTAGAAGGCAGGAGGGTACAGGAAAGCTGGTGATAGGGAACCCAAGGTTGAGAAGGGACACTGCTGACATGTCATGGGGTTGTTAACCATTGTCATAGGGCAATATGTGTACTAACTGTTTAATGAGAGACTATTTGTTCCGTAAACCTCCATCTATTGAATAAAAAAAGAAAAAAGAATTATCTTCGTGAGATCAAATTGAAAACAGCAACTCAAAAGGTTTAATGGGAAGCCTAGGGGCCAGTGAGTTGAAGATAATGGTAATGGAATAATTTGGAAAAGGATAGTAAGAATAGCAGCACAACTGGAAAAATGTAATCAATGTCACTGAATTGTACATGTAGAAATTTTTGAAATGGTGTAAATCTTTGGCTATGTATATTTTCACCAAAAAAAAAAAAAAGTCCTGCAAGGTCAAGAAGGGTGAGTGCTGACATGCTGTGGGGTTGTTAACCAATGTCATAAAACAGTATGTGTACTTTTTAACGAGAAACTATTTGTTCTGTAAACCTTCATCTAAAGTACAATTGGAAAAAAAAAAAAAGGAAACGTTGACAGAGATCTTAAAGATCATGAGAATGATCCAAACAAGGAATGAGTGCCTTAATATACACAGTTTTAGAAAGATCAAATGTACTACAGGAGAATTTGGGACGGAGGTGGCAGGTGAGCAAGCAGCAAGTGTAGAAAGCAAGACTTGGTAATAACATACTGAAAAAGTTCAAAGAAAATATAATAGGGTGGTGGCAAGGAGTCAGGGTGGGAATATATTCTGAAGGTAGAGCTGACATAATTTGCTGATACGCTAGGCTGGGTGTAGGGTTAAGAAAGAAGGGTTATGGGTGACTTCCACTTTTTCAGCCTGAGCAAACAGGAGGATTATAACGCCATTAAGTGTGACAGGGAAGACAGGAGAAGAAGCCTACTATGTATGGGAGTGGGAGATTTGTTATGGTTTTGTTGTGGTTAGGTGCCACAGAGTCAGTTCCTACTCGTAGCGACCCTACGTACAACAGAACCGAAACACTGCCTGGTCCTGTGTCATCCTCACAATTGTTGTTATGTTTCAACCCACTGTTGCAGCCACTGTGTCAATCCATCTCACTGAGGGTCTTCCTCCTTTTTGCTGGCCCTCTACTTTACCAAACATGAGGTCATGATGTCCTTTAGACACAGTAAATATATCTATTAGATATCCAAGGTGAAGATGGTCAATCAATTGTTGAATACGACTCTTGAAGTCAGGGTAGAGCCTTTAGGGCTGAAAATATAAATCTGAGTGCCATCAGCATATAGATGGGATCCCCCAGGGTACAGATAAATGATTGAGAACATAACCCTGAACCCCCCAACATCGAAAAGTCAGGAACAAGTCAGTATAGGGGGCCCAGAAGGAGCAGAAAGTGAAGTAAGAGAAAAAAAAAGGTGGTGTCTTCAAGGGAAAGATTGGTCCAAAGGATTAATGGAGCACAACTAACAGAGCCTCCACCAGACTGAGTCAGCACAACTAGATGGTGTGAGGCTACCACTACCGACTGCTCTGAGAGGGATCACAATAGAGGGTCCTGGACAGAGCAGGAGAAAAATGTAGAACAAAATTCAAACTCACAAAGACTAGACTAGACTTACTGGTCTGACAGACACCGGAGAATCCCTGAGAGTATGGCCCCCGGACACCCTTTTAACTCAGTACTGAAGTCACTCCTGAGGTTCACCCTTCAGTCAAAGATTAGACAGGCCCATAAAACAAACAGTAACACATGTAGCTGAACCATGTATACAAGGCTAAACAGGCTCACCAGGCCAGGGGCAAGGATGAGTAGGTACGAGGGGACAGGAAAGCTGGACGAATGGAAATGGGGAACCTAAGGTCAAGAAGGGGAGAGTGCTGATGTGTGGCAAGGTTGGCAACCAATGTCACAAAACATATGTGTATTAATTGTTTAATGACAAACTAATTTGCTCTGTAAACCTTCATTTAAAGTACAGTAGTAATAAAAAATAATCAACAAAAATATAACGAAACATTTGACATTTCAACAATCCTCGGGAAAAAAAAATAAGGTGGTGTCTTTCTTACTTTCAGAAGCACGTTAAAAAAAGTGTTTTATGGATGGACAGATCAACTACGTCACTGAGATCAAATAAGATGAAGACCTGAAAAGTGGATTTACCAAGATGGAAATCATTAATGACTTTGATAATAATAGTTTCAAAGTAGTGAGAGAGGAAAGCATGACTGGAGAAGATTAACGAAAAATGAACAGTGAAAAAGTGAAGACAACAAGTACAAAGACCTCACTAAAAGAATTTTGCCATGAAAGAGAACAGAGAAATAGGGTAGAAGCTGCTGGGGGGTATGGGAAAAGTGGTGATGGAAAGATAATTCTTTGTAAAGATGGGAGTCAATACTGCAGGTAAGTGATAATGGATGGCATCCAGGAACAAGTAGAAGTGTTATATCCTTAGTAGCAGGGACAGCAGTTCTATGGTAACCAGAAGGAAGTCAGAGTGTAAGGACAATGACATGGAAAAAACAGGTATAGTTATCCTCAGGGGTTTCAACCAGTCTGAAGCAGTTCAGTCATGGCTAATGAAGTGAAACTGGAACAGACTCGAATTTTTTAAATTTGGGTGATCCGGGACCATAACTAGAACGGGGAAAAATTATGGGTCAAAGCCCTAGAATGGAAGACTCAGAAGAGGCATAGTGAGTGCTTTCAGGAGCCTGATGCATGAGACTGGACTACTGCTAGGACTGAGGAGCGTGACACAATTCAAAGCTGCGCAGTCAGCCGCCATCTTTGAGTGGGGCACTGCTGTTTTCTGACTCTGCACAAAATCCAGCAGGCAAGAGATCTGGCTGCTATGCAACGCATACGCTGCCTTTGTTTTCTAAGAGGGAGATTTAAGTTTCTAATAGGGCTGCAATCTGTAATTTTTCCCATTCTGGTAATGGTTCTGGTTCAACCAAATTTTTAAAATCAAGTCTGTTCTGGTATCACTTCCTTGGCCATGACTGAACTTGGAAGAACCAGTTCAAAGCCCTGGTTATCTGTTAGGTGCTTTCTTATTTTCTTAGTGAAACTGGGAGCATGCTAATAATAATCAATTGAGAATAAAGATGGAAAGGATGAAAAGGAAGATGTGAGGAGTTAGTTATATTTTATAAATTATAAATAAGAAACATAGAAAGAGCGTTTCCATTAAAACAAAAGAAATTAAACAAAACATACAAGACCATAAACCAACATTTAGTTGAGATTTACCTGTTGTGCAAGCAACTTTGGGGGTGGTGGCAGGTGTGATGATGTTCCACGTTCCTATTTTAAAGAAGAAGACAGTTACAAAATAACCAGGTAACAAAAAAGGTGTCTATTGGAACTATTTTTGAATGTATTAATTTTCTCAATGAAACCACAAGATAGTTAAAAGGACTTCTGTCTTCTTCTCCTTTTTCTTAATAAAACATATTACTGCAAGATAACTTTTTACTTCCTCTAGAATCACTCTGCCATTTCAATAAGGTTAGAGTTTCCAATGCACTTTGCTAATAACAGAACTTTAGTGTACCAATTCTGGAATTCTAACCTAAGAAATTTTGGCTGGGAGGGGCATACCTCATAGAATTACTAAATTTAATTTAGCAAGCACAATTCTTTATCTGATTTTTTTTTTCCTCCTAATGGCAAACTAAAAAAATGTGAGATTTATCTAAAGAAAAGAGACATCTAAAACATACTGGAACTAAATACAGTATGTGGAATATTCACTTGCTAATATACAAATCTATGTCACACAAAAAAGTCAGGACATTAAGATATTTCTTATATATTTCTCTATTGTCCCATGAAGTAATGAATTATCACCCCCCATTATGCCAGTAACACAGCCTTGGTGGCGCAGTGGTTAAGAGCTCAGCTGCTAACCAAAAGGTCGGCAGTTTGAATCCACCAGCTGCTCCCTGTGGAAACCCTATGGGGCAGTTCTACTCTGTCCTATAAGCCTGCTATGAGTCGGAATTGCCTTGATGGCAACAGGTTTGATTTTACTATGCCAGTAGGAGCCCTGATGGTACAGTGGTTAAAGTGCTCAGCTACTAAACAAAAGATTGGCAGTTTGAATCTACCAGTCACTCTGTGGGAGAAAGATGTGGCAGTCTGCTTCCGTAAAGATTACAGCCTTAGAAACCCCACGGGGCGTTCTACTCTGTCCTATAGGGTTGCTATGAGTCAGAATCCACTCAATTACAACGGGTTTGGTTTTTTTAAATTATGTCAGTAAGTAAAAAAGTTGAAAAACAATAATTTTATAAAAATACTTGAAAAAGCTTTAAGAGTTTGGAAGCTTATTTCAATGGCTCACCAATGCCTTAGGAGATAAAATCCAAACTCTTCTGTATAGCATACAGGACTTAACATCTGGTTCTTACCTAGCTCTCCTATCTCTCTCCCGTATCAAACTTCTCAGAATTTCTTGAATGCCATGCTTTCTTATACTTCAGTACTCAGCACCTGTTCCTGCTACTTGAAATGGGTCTCTTTGCTTTGTTTACGGGCTACTTCCTGCTTTGTTAAGAATTATCTCAAGCACAAACTCTTCTGCAAAACCATTTCCCCTGACTGAGTTCTCAAAGAACTCACTACGGGCATACCTGTATCGCAGCACTTATCACACTGTACTGTAATGAATGCTTATTGGCTTTTCTCCTTCAGAGAGACTATTAGCCACCTCCTCTTTAGCTCCCTGAAGGGACAGTTTCCTCCGTTTTGCGTGAATTCAGCAAATCCATGTTGAATAAATATACTATGACTCCTTAAAATAAACAGACTCTTTCAAGGGAAGCCAATTCCCATCCCCAGTTTGAAATGCAGCTCTTGTTACCCTTTACCATCTCAGAAGTGGTATCAAGTGTATCTGTTGCCCTCATATATCCCTTCTTTTGCAATATGCCTTATAATGACTCAAACTTCTTAGACTTTCCAACTCACTGTGCAAAGCTGTCAAACACTGTACAACTTTACATAGGAAGACTGACTAGGATTCATAAAGTACTTTGTAACCCATAAAGTACTTCAGATATGTAAGTTTTAGTTTGGGAAAATAACTGTATTCCTCTATTCTGGTATGACTGAGTGGTCATAAGAGAAAAAGGAAAACTTCAGTTTCTACTTGATTTTTAGCTAATATATTGATAATTCCTACTAACATGCAATAAAAATTATGGTTCAGATCCATGGTTATTCAAGAAAAATTATACAGGTCCCTTTTTCTAAGTCCCCTTCCAACGCTATGATTACAAAATTAATTCATCCATAGTATCTTCAGTGACAAGGATCTCCATGAGTTCAACAAACCTGATTAAACAGAGCTCCTTTCCCATAGGGACCTTTTGCTACTGATGGCTGGGCAGGTATCTGAGAAGATGATTTAGTGCTGTTAACTTCATCTGCTTCTTTTCGGTTTTCAGTGTTTTCAGAGGATTTTGGACCTTGATCCTCACTGAAGATTCAAAATCCAGGGAAAATAAAAAAGGAAAGTGTACTGTATCATGAGTAAATGCATTTTTTTCTATGTAAGAAAATAAATTATTTCCATGTGGTCTGAAGGGAAAATATAAAGAAATGAGACGCTTTTGTGATCTAATGCTACTAATTCACTCAACAGACACTATATATCTATAATGTTCTGGGGACTGGGCTTGGCCAGCTTATCATCAGAAGGCATAAAATACAATACACCAGTTATCAAATCTGAGCACTCATACTTGACACACATCCTGGCAAAGGAATACAATCCCACTATTTTGTATTTCTCCACCCAAGAAATCTCATCTGAATGCAACTGAGTGACATTAGAGATATCATTTAATTGCATTCTAATTTATTGGGAAAAAAGTGATCAAACTAGTCTTAAGCAATAAATCACAGCCATCTCACAACTGATCATGAAACAGCAGTGTATTACAATGCCATGGCTGATACTATATCAACATGTGCATCCAAACTCTTGTGTATTTTAAGAGCTTAACTTTTATGATACGTTCTCCACAGGCTCCTGACTCTGATGTTCTTATGCTCTAGAAGGAAAGCGATAAAATGCTCTCATTTCCCTAGGCCCTAATGCAGCTGGTAAGGTTTAAAAAAATCAAGAACTTAAAGCAGTTGTAGTAACTCAAGGAATTACTCTCCATTTTTGTAAATATGGATTAGGTCAAGCAAGTAACAAGTTCATATAAAATGGTACCCAATGTCAACTTTCAAAATATCTCTCATTAGATACCAAGCAAGTAAATATTTCTTTTTTTTTTAATTACTAAAAAGATATCACAACAATTTACCTGCTGTTCTCTTTAGGACTACTACTTCCTTGCTCATCATCATCACTGAAATTCAACTGTTCTGTATAATCCACTTCCATCTGAGCACCTATTAAATTAAGGAAAACTCAGATTGACTGTGTAAGAGCATTTAACAACTGAAAGCGCTTAACTAATTTTGTCTCTTACCTGCCCAACCTTCATCAGCTTCAGCATCTAGGTTATCAAACTTATCAAGCTCCTTGAGTTCTGATGCACTAAGGATGGAGGGGCGTTCAGGCTCAGATGCCCATGAAGGAGGGGGGCCTCTTCCTCGAAGGCCTCTAATGAATGGGAGATTATGGGAGGAAATGATACTAAGTTTTAATAACCCTATATTAGGAAAATATTAAAAGACTGGAATTTAGCTCATTTAACTTGACATTTGCGTTCTCTACACCAAAATAGTTATCCAATAGCAGGTTTTCAAAAAACTCTCAAAAGATTTGAAATAAAACTCAAAGATATGCTAAACAACAATGTGGTCAAGACTAATCTTAAAATAATAGCTTTGAGGAAAACCATCACAAGCCATTAACTTGTGGAAGGAAGCAGGGAGACACAAGTGTCATCAATTTCAGGGCCATAATTTTCACTTTTTAGAATTTCATGTCAAAGTTTTAGAAGAATGCAGTATTTTTGATGTTTTATGAGTTAGCCAATCATTTATTAATATCAAAATTGTACTCTGAAAACAGAAAAATGTCTCAATCACTACAATCAACTGAGCACCAGAAAACCTTAATGAGCATATATATGCATTGCTGATTTTAATCATTTAACAGTCTTACTTGTTTGTTTCAGATAAAGAAGGTGGGAACCTCATGGGACCATGTACAGGAGGAGGATATGCCATTCTTGGATACTGTTGAAACATCTGAATGAAGGAAACAAAAATATTTTGATAAATTCAGCAACCCTGTTATGAAAAAATTATCAACCTGCCTCGGCCTAAAATTATAATTTATAGAAAAAATTATTAAAATAAATGGTGTATTAATAATTAATTTTATCTGCTGATATAGCTCATCATTCACCTTCAGTAACAAGCCATTTACAAGACTACTGCCTCCTTCAAGTTTTTACTAATAGAAGTAATAACTAAAGCATATTATATGAAGAACTTGTTTTCCGATTAATAAAATTACAGAAAAAAAAAAAATGACTGCACATTGCTATGAAAAACTAAATTAGAAAGAAAATACACACATCCAGAATCAAGTCAGAATACTCAGAGGCAAATAATGTAGGACTTTATCCTAAAACAGGAGTAGACCAACTGGGGTTAGATTTGCTGATAAGAAGGAGCTCAGTCCAGATAAAAGTAAGGGATAGTCTATAGCCCAATGGGCAGGGGATGGGAAGGGAGCTACTTGAAGATTTTCTACGGACAGGGCCTAGGTGGATTCTAAGTCAAGTTACTGCAGAGATACTATTGTCTGTATTTGCTTGAAATTTTCCATAATGGAAAGTTAAGATAAAAATGAAAGTACATGAATAAAAATTTTATGAGGGCAGTGGTGATTCAGTGGTAGAACTCTCGCTTTCCATGTGGGAGATCAGGGTTCAACTTCTGGTCAATGCATCTCATACACAGCCACCACCCATCCGTCAGTGGAGGCTAGTGTACTGCTATAACGGTCAACAGGTTTCAATGAAGCTTTCAGACTAAGAAGGACTAAGAGGAAAGGCCGACTTGATGGCAGCTAACGACAATAAAAACTTTAGAATTAAAGCAGGTATTTTTTGAACTTTTTTGTGTTATGGATGACACCCTTTGGAAGTCTGGTAAAGCCTATGGATCTCATCTCAGAAAAATGTTTTTAAATGCATAATCTAAAACACAGTATTGCAAAGGAAAACAATTACGCTAAATTTATTTCCACAAAATTAACAGAGTAGAACTGCTCCATAGGATTTTTTTTTTTTTTTTGGTTTATTGTTGTAGTTTAAGTGAAAGCTTACATTTCAAGTTAGTCTCTTATACAAAAATTTATACATACATTGTTATGTGACCCTAATTGCTCTCCCTATACTGTGTCAGCACACTCCTCCTTTCCACTCCTGATTCCCCATGTCCATTCAACCAGCTCCTAACCCTCTCTGCCTTCTCATCTCACCTCCGGACAGAAGCTCCAGTTTAGTCTCATGTATCTACTTGAGCTAAGCACACTCTTCACGAGCATCATTTTAGGTCCCACAGTCCAATCTTTGAAGAGATGGCCTCAGAAATTGTTTCAGTTCTGGGCTGATAGAGAATTCCAGGGCCATGCTTTCCAGGATTCCTCCAGTCTCAGTCAGATCATTAAGTCTGGTCTTTTTACTAGAATTTGAGTTCTGCACCCCACCTTTCTCCTGCTCCATCAGGGACTCTCTGTTGTGTTCCCTGTCAGGGTGGTCACTGGTGGTAGCTGGGCACCATCTACTTCTTCTGGTCTCAGGCTGATGAAGTCTCTGGTTTCTGTGGCCCTTTCTGTCTCCTGGGCTAATACTTTCCTTGAGTCTTTGGTGTTCTTTGTTCTCCTTTACTCCAGGTGGTTGGGACCAACTGATGCATCTTAGATGGCCACTTGCAAGCTTTTAAGACCCCAGACGCCACTCACCAAAGTACGATGCAGAACATTTTCTTAATAAGCTTTGTTCTGCCAGTTGACCTAGATGTCCCCTGAAAGCATGGTCCCCAGACCCCTACCCCTGCTACTCTGTCCCTCGAAGTGTTTGATTGTATTCAGGAAACTTCTTAGCTTTGGTTTAGTCCAGTTGTGCTGACTTCCCCTGTAGTGTATGCTGTCCTTCCCTTCACCTAAGATAATTCTTATCTACTATCTAGTTAGTGAATAACCCTCACCCTCCCTCCCCACCCTCATAACCATCAAAGAATGTCTTCTTCTGTGTTCAAACCTTTTCTTGAGTTCTTATAATAGTGGTGTTATACAATATTTGTCCTTCTGTGACTGACTAAATTCACTCAGCATAATGCCCTCCAGATTCCTCCATGTTGTAAGATGCTTCACGGCTTCATCGTTGTTCTTTATCATTGCATAGTATTCCACTGTGTGGATATACCATAATTTGTTTATCTATTCGTCTGCTGAGGGGCACCTAGGTTGCTTCCATCTTTTTGCTACCATGAACAATGCTGCAATGAAGATGGGTGTGCATATATCTATTTATGTGATGGCTCTTATTTCTCTAGGATATATTCCAAGGAGCAGGATTGCTGGATCATATGGTACTTTTATTTCTAGCTTTTTAAGGAAGCACCAAATTGATTTCCAAAGTGTTGTACCGTAATTAACAATTTTAAAGTAAGGTTGGTATAAACAATATTTTGTAATGTCTACCACAATGCAACGAAACATGAAAATATCTACTATGATCCCTATTAATAATGAAGTCACAGGTACTGCTGATATTCCTGTGATTTGTTTCATATGCTCATAATCAAAGAAAATGCTAATTTTTAGTTGGATGTTAATGAAAATAAAGACCTAAACTTTTCCCCATTCCAACAGTCTCCCTGGATCCCAGATTATTTCACTAGCTAGCTTCTGTAACAATACTCACATAAGGAGGCATCATAGCTCTATACTGGGAAGCAAGAGCAGTCTGCTGTCCATTCAGTTTGGCCTGTGGAGGACCACAAGCTATCCTCTTTTCCACCACTTTGAGGATATCATTTTGCTCTGATGTTGCAGCTGTGCTGTCAACCTGACCAGGGAGCTTTTCATCTTGATCAGATGGAGAAGGTGAGCCAGCAGACTTACCACCATCTCTCCAACAAGCAACATCTGATATAGAGGAGAAAACACATGAAATTGGAACCAGGTAAAACCAAACTAGGCACATTTCAAGATAATTAACGCAAGAAAGCACACTGAGGGAACAGCAAAAGTCTAATCTGGGACCTACTGCTGTCTAATGCTTTCAAGTGTTTAGGCAGACAAGAACAGGGGCCTCCAAAGCAGAGAGCATGTACCTCAAAGGGGGCCACCACAAGCAAAGACTGTGGTGGGTGAAGAAAATATTAGAACTCCTCTATTAAGCTTTATCAATATTTGATAAAGAAAATAAATCCACCATTCTCTCTTGGTCCATATGTCAGATGGTTACGTTTAAGATAAAATACAAGCTTTCCTGAAGGAAGTTAGAGTGGGAGTTCTAGAAGCTGGAAAGGTTGACAGCAATGGTCTCCTTCGTTTGCTTTCAGCCTAGTATTGCTAGTTACAGGTGAGGAGATTTAGTGATTATATTACCTGGCTTAACTACACTTAACCAAATAAAAACGATAAGTGGTTTTGCAAGAAATCCTGTGTGGCAGCCAGCCTCCAAGATGGCCTCCAACAATCTCTACCTCCTGGTATTCACACTCTGTGTAGTTCCTGCCAACAGTGTACCAGGGTTGGTCTTTGTGACTTACAGAAGATGTCAGAAGTGATGGCAAGTCTCTTCTGAAATTAGACAGTAAAAGACTGTGGGCTTCCACCTCAGGTGGGAGATGTCTGTCTCTTTCTCATTGCTTAATCTGAGGAATCTATTTTGAGCAGCCCTACTGAGAGGCCTACACACTGAGGAACTAAAGCTACCTGCCAACAACAGCTACTTGAGTCCTCCAGTCCCAGTCAAGTCGGCCTCAGATGACAACTCAACCAAGCTGCGTTGGCACAAAATACTCAACTGTAGTTCCTGGTTTGATGGCAAGACCAACCTTCCTTCCATTCTTCTGAATGTCTTTAACCAAAGCCCATGGGTCTCAGTAGCCTTGAGATGAAAGGCATATTGATTGGCACCTACTATAGCCACTGGTTTTACCCACTGTTATGGCCTGGACACCATCATGTGCATGTCAAAGAAAGGGTCCTGGCCTAGCTCTTTTGGAGACTTTCTTACAGGGTGATCAAAGGTGACGTTAGGAACAAAATGGCCATCCATTACATCCAGGTGCAGATAACTGGCCCCAGAGTCCAGCATCCGGAGGCATTTGACCCCTAAATCGGCCAGGCTGCTGTTGAGGTTGGATGGGCCAATCTTACAGCCAGACACCATGGTACTGGTTCCTAAGGCCAATCCCAGACTTCTGACTCTCAGATACTATGTGAGAGCATAGGTTCAGTTCAGTTTGTTGCTTTAAGCTGCCAAGTTTGTTATGCAGCAATACATCTGGTGAAAATGCAACTAAACAAGAAAATAGCAGAGCTGACATTATCTACTCCTAATATGATCTCATCAACCACACTACGACCATTAAAAAAGTTTACTCAAATCTGACAAGAGATCAACCAAAAGAAATGCAAAACGTATCAAGTTATCAAACTAGTACTAGCCTGCCTTTTCAAACTAGTTAATTCATGCATACAATAACAACAGGCAGGAAGCTATATTATTGTAAGAAAATGTAAATTTAATATCATTCTATATTTGTATTATACAGAAAGTACTCTTACTTGGTGGGCGTAAACTAGGTCCAGGTCCATAGTTGTCATCATTTGCTTCTTTTTCTTTTTTTTCCTGATCCCCAGCTGCCTGCAGGCTGGGAAATTCTTGCTGAAAATGACTATTCACTTGGATTCCTGGAGATGTTTAAAAAATTATTAAATGTAGCTTTAATAGTGAAAATAACTCAAATATCCCTCCCTGGATAGAGCTCGCTACCTTTTTCTGATAAATTATTCCACTGTTCAATGATGCCTGTTTATATCCATAAAACTTTTTAAAAATATATAAAACCCCTTGAAAAGTTAATGAACAGCCATGAGGAGATAAAAATCTAAGAAAGGAATCTGCCAGATACTGTTTCAGAAAACTCATTTAAGATAATCAGGCAAGTGAGGAGAACCTCACTTCTGTTTTTCTCTTATTATGACTCTTAACATTTTCAATAAGTGTCAAATTTCTTTGCTCGTAACTCTAAGAATCACTTCAAATCATTTTGCTGAAATAGAATTTGTGAGTAAACAATGCACATATCAAGTTGAGGCTAAAACATACTCATAGATCTTTCATTTAATTTGCCTGAGATACAGAATGTACCTTGGTATTCACCTGCCCACCCATCTACCTACCTTCTATACTTCTAACTATAAAAGAGCTGATTTTATTAGATTAAGGATCCAGAGTAATTTCTCCATAAAACGTTTCATAATGGTTCCAGTTTTGCAAGTGGGAAAATTAAATTCTGTTGGGGATCCATCATTCCTAGGGAGGAGGGGAGTGTTATATAGCTACTCTGCTTTGAGGTTATTTTTTAGCTCTTCTCTACCCAGGAAATCATGGGCAGTGTGTTTGAAACAGGAGAGGTTGGTGCACAGATGGAGTTGAATATGGTTTCTAGCAATATATGCAATTTCTGGTTACTTTCAGGTCTCAAAGAGCTGTAAGTATAAGGTTTTGCCTGGATGTGTAGGGGTAAAGATAAAATAACGTGAGGTGACAGGTATCAGGATAAAAACTTTAAATTAGACTCTTTTTTTAACTCCTATCATTGCCTCATACATGGGCCCTGACACTGAAACTTAAGTAGCACAAGAGATTAAAAAGACACCTCTTTTTAGGGCGTAAGAATGGCAATGAATAAGGAAGAACAAAGAAGAACTGATGCCTCTGAATTGTGTTGTTGGCGAAGAACACTGAACATACCATGGACTGCCAAAAGAATGCACAAATCTGCCTTGGAAGAAGTACAAACAGAATGCTCCTCAGAAGCAAAGATGTCGAGACTACTTTCGATTTCTTATCAGGAGGGACCAGTCCCTGGAGAAGGACATGATGCTGGTAGAGGGTCAGAGAAAAAGAGGAAGACCCTCAACGAGATGGAGTAACACAGTGGCTGCAACAACAGGTTCAAGCATAACAATGATTGTGAGGATGGCACAGGACCGGGCAGTTTCGTTTCTGTTGTACACATGGTCGCTATGAATCAGAACCGACTCGATGGTACCTAATAACAAGTATGACCTCTGACAGTGCTCTCAGGCCCTGCCAATACAGGACACGCCCACCCATTATCTCCTGCATGGCTGCTCAGTAACTATCAAGCCTAACCAGTTTCCCCAGCTAATGTCCACTTACCATCTCCTTGCCCACCTTGCTTGTTACTGGCCCATGATTTGGGAACAGGTGCTACCTCTGGGGGAGCTGTGACCCCAGGTTTTGGCTGTGCTGGTGGTACTTCTGGTGTTCTTAAAAAAAATGTGAATCCATTATTTCAGATATTACATGTTAAAACAAAATAAACATCATACTTAAGATAAAACTGTGTACAAATTATTTTGGCTACATATTTGCTCACAAATACATCCCCCACAAATGTTTTCCCTCTGTAACATTTCTTTAAATGTATTACTACTATTCTGATCTCCTCTTTCATCTCTATCTTTGAATAATAACCACCAAAGAGAAGACGGCTTTGCTTCTTTTCCATCTTGTTAAACAAACAAAAACTATTGGACATAGCTACCAGAAAATTGTTTTAAACAAGTGAACGTTTATAATTAAAAACAACAGTATACGCATACATACAGTCTGGATTTGTGGAATTAGCCAGGGGCTAAAAAGGCTAAGCAAGCTCTCCATTTGGGAGCCAACAGCTTCACCACTGTACTTAATACTGTTATTCAAAGAAGTAACAGCAAGCCTGATCCATTCCATGATAAAAGGTGTTTGAAAAGGGCCTACAGTTTTAGTCAATCTTTGTAACGAGATAATACTTAAAAATGAAAAGGAATGAACAGACTTAAGAAATGCAATATATTTCTAGTACATCCAGACCTATAATTGACTTGCTATTATAAAATAATTCTACAACTAACCAGCAGGGAACAGAAAGTCCTTAATAAAAAGCTTTTACACAAGTTTATTAAATAAAGCTCCCCAGAGTATAGAAATTTGGTAACAAACACAGGCAAAACACATCAAGAATGCAATAACTTGTATTTTTAAAAACTGTCTATACTTACCTTGGTCATTCAATTAACTACAGCCCGGCACAAAGCTTGACAGCACAATGCTTAACGCATAGATGGCATTATAGTAAATGTTGTCAAATGAATGGCAATTAAGAAGACACTATTAATCCTATGCTAGCTTTCTTGCTGACCCTTTATTCACCCAATAAATATTACCTGAACACCTACTATGCATCAGGCATAGTTTCAAAACTGGAGATATAATAGTGAACAAATAGATTAAAAAATCCTTGTCAGCATGCAGCTTGCTAAACAGTCAACTCTTAATCATGTTAGAAAGAGAATGCCTGATTTGATATGGGTGTGGGAGGGGCGGGGCAGAGAAAGACACAGGCAATTACATAAGAAAATAAGCAATTCTGTCAACTGCTCTACCTTGACTAATGGAAGTATGGATTAAACCACTCACAGCGAAAATTAATCAAAAGTTGACTATAAAATCAAAGACTTTAAAGGACATGGGATATCTAATACACTCAGCACAATAACTCATACATAGCAGGTATTCAATTCATAGTTCCCTATGAAGAAAGGGGAGTTTTATTCTTTAATATACTTGGACTCACTTTTCTTCTTCATGCTGTTCTTGTTTTGATGCCCATCCTGTGCCATCTTTAGGTACAATGTTCACATTAGGATCATTGCCTTTGTTTTCTGCTTTGAGACTTGGGAGGTTAGCAGGTGGAGGCATACGCCGTGAAATACCAACTTTTCCAAGACTCTGTAATCCATGTCGAGCTGCAACTAAAGATCAATAACATCAACTTTCTAAGAACATCTATTATATTACCCATTTTATTCTTCAGCTAATAAAGAAAATAGGAATAACGGAATTCTTGAACTATTATTTCCTATTATTTTAAGATAAGAAATTGAAACTAAACATTTGCAACATACCCAATGTATAAACATTAAAATAAAGTATTAAATACATGTTTTAAAAATTCTAACAATGTAACCAAATACACTATGAAAAATAAAACACTGATAATGCTGGTTTTGAAAAGTTTTCAAGCAATCTATTTCAAAGCCAAACTTAGAATGTTAAAGAATAAATATTCTGAATTTATGTTCATAATGAGTACTACTAATGTATCAGACATGATTTAGTTTTCACTTTTATGGTACACCCACTCCTCACTTATCGACATGGTTAGGTTCCAAAGAGCAGGCCGTTACATAAAGATTGGCATTATGCGAAAATGGAGGATTTTTTTTTTGTTTTCAGACCATCCATTTGTTTGATTTTTCTTTACTTAGAAAATATGATTGTAGAAATAATAACAGCTAAGATTTACTGATGTGCTCATTACTGTGATGAGTCCAGTTATGGATTATTCCTCTGTGGAGAAGGAGGCCTGGAGGAGACAAAGCTGGATAAAGCTGGACTGTAAATGCCTGGAAGGCCCAGGCTTACTCACCTCACCTTCCACCTATGCTGGGTCACAGCTTCTCTGGAAGAACAGCCTCCAAGGCTCTACTCCCATTCCTGCAAGCCTTGCATTCACACCCAGGAGCCTGCTCTGCCCTTCAGGCCTAGCAAGTCACTGAGGCTCAGGGCTTCCTGAGATTCAGGGCTTCCTGCAAGGGTGCTGGGAGCCTTGCCATGCACCCAGCCCCACTGAGGTAGAGGATTCAGGCCCATTTCAGCTCACTCTGGGATGTCATTAAACTCGCAAGCATTTTCCCCAAACACACTCTCTGATGCCTCTTTCTTTCCTCCCTTGCCAACCCACAGCAATTTTGAGCTGCAGGGCCTCAGGTCACATAGGAGCTGGGAACCCAGAACAGGAACTGCCTGCTCATCAGCCTGGAGGCTGTGGCCACAGAGGAGGCTGGCCCTGCGTGACAGTTACAGGCAGGAGGGAGTGGAGGCCCAGGACAGTGCGGCCCAGCTTCCTGGAGGCCAAAGGCTCCGTAGCCTCTGCCGCCATGCTAATATACAAAATAGCTGAATAGCAGATTTTTTTACTATTGTCATAAATGCAAAATGTCAGATAACGAGACAGTCGGTAAGTGAGGAGTAGGTGTGTACACTGAGTTCAAGGTAACTAAATACAAAACACAGGACTTTATTTCATAACTAAAAGTGGTAGTAAATACCCACAAATATGTAGCTCTATGCCTATCAACCTCTCTGACTGCGTTTCCCATGGAATGATACACTTACTTATTTTCTACTATCCGACAAAGAACAGGGAAAACTAAATCCCAACAATAGCAACAGTTCTGATGTGTCATTTACAGTAATAAAACAAAAGCATGAAAAATATATAAATGCCACTTGATTTTACTCACCTGTGGTTTTCTGTGTTTCTAATGATTTACCCTTGTAAGTATTAAATAAACTGAGTGTTGCATACTTTTTCCCATCCTTTGCTTTTGTGCTCTGGCCTGACTTCTCCGACATTTCGGTGGAAACTCATCGAGTCCAAAACCTCCAGCCACACCCCTTAAAACCAGTCTTTAAGGAGCGCATAACAAAGAAAAATAGGGATAATTTTAGAATTCATTAACTAAACATTTTTTTTTAGTAAATTCAAATGTTCACAGAAATTCTGTAAATAAAAACACTGAGAAAGAAATCTTCAATAAGTCATATCAATGATAATTTCATTAACCTGTTTAGTAATGTCAAAATCAAACCAATGCATGACAAAATTAATCATAATAAACTACCATGTATTAGCAAACATATTATTTATGGTTTGTAACCATTTAACTGTATCATAGAGAATGAAGATAATACATGCTGAGATGAATAGCTCAAACAGAGTGAATCTTTGGAGACTGTCTACTTAATAAATATTATTCAATTTAACAGGTTCAAGATTACCAGTGTATCAGCCTATGCATGTGGAATCCAAATACGATACAAGGATAACATCATTTCCTTATATATGCATACCTGTATTTTCAGGCAGTATATGCCCAAAGCTCTATTAATTTAACAGTTCAGAATAGAAAGAACATTCTTTCCATTTTTTCTGCATTTATAAAGGATAGAACATGTCCTTATAAACACAAGGTACAGAAAGACAGTAATGTATTTCATGTCTATGGAGTAAGTGTTCAAGAAATGAAGCGCATTTATCAGAACAAGCATCTGTATACGTGAGAAGCTATTAGAAATAAATAGTATTTTAATGAATATTCATATATAAAAGAATTTTCATCTTTGGGGCGCTAATGTACCCTAATCTTGGAAACGTACCCTAGCTAAAAAGCTAGTCTATTAATAAACAGGGAAAAAAGGCACAAACAAGCTCTCATCCTGTATTTCTTCGATTAATGTAAAAGTGTATACACACATCAACTTAAGGGTGTTTGGGGTGGGTAAAGGTGGGAGTGGGGCAGAAAGCGGAAGTTCTACCATAGAAATCATCAATAGCTAAAGGCATTGAGAAATGAAGCACGGGAGCTAAAGATAGCACAGAATAGGTATATCATGCTAAAAGCATCAAAGTCCAGGGATCCCTGCATAAATCAGTTGCCATCAAGTGGATTCTGACTCATGGCGACTCCATGTGCACCACAGTAAAACTGTGTTCCACAGGGTTTTCAGCGGTTGATTTTTCAGGAGCAGATAGCCAGGGCTTTCTTCTGAGGCATCTCTGAATGGACTTGAACCTCTAATCTTTCAGTTAACAGTTGAGTGTTTAACTGGCCTACCATTATAAAAATTTTTTCTAGTATTTGTCAATTGCAGACTCAGCATTACACGGAGATGATGCATATCAATTGCAATATTCAACATGTGTGTAGTTCTATAAAGTATTTATATATATATATAAAGTATTTATTTATCAAGTATTTTCTCATCTGTTATCATATTTAAGAAGCCCTGGTGGAGCAGTGCTTTAAACGCTCGGCTGCTAACCGAAATATCAGCGGTTCGAGCCCACCAGCCACTCCACAGAAGAAAGATGTGGCAGTCTGCTTCCATAAAGATTATAGCCTTGGAAAGTCTATAGGGGCAGTTCTACACTGTCCTAGGGTTGCTATGAGCTGGAATCAACTTGACGGCAATGGGTTTGGTTTTCGGCTATTATCGTATTTCAGACCAATAACCTTATGACATAGTTAGCATCTCAATTTTACAGATGAGGAAACTTAGGTTCAGAGGTAAATGAGATTGGAGTTGAAATCAAAGCTTCTGGTTTGGTCCACTACACTGTGCTGCTCCCTTCCACTTCACTGTGGACCACCACTGAGCTCTCCACGTATACACTTAACAAAAACCACCTTCACATGAGATAACTGAAAATGACTCACCAGTAACCAAAAGAACTACACTAATAGATGGACAGTTTACCACCATATTTATGAGCCCTGGTGGTGCAGAAGCTAAGCACTCAGCTGCTAACCGGAACGTCAGCAGTTCAAAACCACCAGCCGCTCCGCGGGAGAAAGATGTGGCAGTCTGCTTCTGTAAAGATTTACAGCCTAGGAAATCCTAAGGGAGGCAGTTCTACTCTGTCCTGTAGGGTTGTCATGAGCCAGGAATCAACTCGACAACAGCGGATTTGGTTGTTTATTTTTCTTGGTTTTATTATCATATGTATAATAAGGTATGCAATTATGTTCCAACAGTGCTAATAATGTGATGGTATGAAAGGAGATGCACTCTCAGGATCTATCACATTTGTATATTTTCGCCAATAACTTGGCAAAAGAAACAGAAAGAATATTCATCTACAGCAAAAAAAAAAAAAAAAGGTGGGGGGACAGTAAATATACACTAGATGACAAAACTGAGATACAAAGAGATCTTTCATCAGGTGACAAAAATGAAATAACTTATCAGTCAACTTGTTCTTTTATGCTCTATGATGGCTATCAAATACCTAAAAATCAAAAAAACCAAACCTGTTGCCATCGAGTTGATTCCAACTCATAGCAACCCTACAGGACAGAGTAGAACTGCCCCATAGGATTTCCAAGGAGCAACTAATGGATTCAAACTGCTGACCTTTTGGTTAGCAGCTGAGCTCTTAACCACTGCACCACCAGGGCTCCAATAACACCTAAGACTCCTCAAATCTTGGACCTCATATGGATGAGTCTCACATGTCCATTATCACAGAAAGCAACATCACGAGAGAGGAGCTCCCTAAAACTTCTGGGGGCAAGCCTACAAATCCACCTGCACCTACACACATCCTTTCCTTCCTCCACCTACTGCTACATGATTCTCAGAATCATCTGAAAACTTGTTAGAAATGCACATTCTCTGGCACCACCCCCAGATCTACTGAATCAAACTCTGGGGATGGGGCCCAGCATTCTGTGTTTTAGCAAGTCTTCCAAGTGAAACTCCAGGCATGAAAAGTTTAGGACCCAGTGACTTATTATTACAAACAGATATATTATAAGCAGTGGTTCTCAGCCCTGGCTGCAGATTAAAATCACTTGGGGATTTAGAACACTATACCAGTATAAGAGGTGGATAAGGTGGGGCCTGGGTGTCAATTCTTAATTTTCAAAAAGTTCCCCGGGGAATTCTAATATGCAAGCAGTCTTAAAAATCACTGCAATAAAGGGAGTGTATCTTTCCTTCCATTCCACCTAGGGCCAATCCTTCCTCCTGTGCTCTCTCCACCCTGTCCCCACTTTCCTCTTCATTCTAAACTCTTCTCCCTAGGGAATCTCATTTACTATTATACCTTCAATTACCAACTGCAATAAAACATTTTTATCTGCAGCCCAGAACTCTAAGCTCCAGAATGTATCCCATTGTCCACTAACATTCCTTCTTTGTTTTGAATAAAGTTTCAACTCTACCCAGAACACACGCAACTATTTCATGTCAAGGCTTTCAGAACCTAGCCTACCAAATATTCTGCCCAGCAGAAAAGGAAAATGAGAGTAAAAAAATAAATCTGAGAGTCAATGGAAAAAATATCTCAACATTTGATGAAATGTAAATATAAAGAACTCAACGAATTGAAGGGGGAAAAAAAAAAAAAACTTCAAGAAACCTGGAAATCAAGGCTATGAATAGACAATTCACTGAAGAAACAAACAGTAAACAAATGTAGCAAAATGTTCAATTTTACGAGTATACAAATAAAAAATGAAAACGAGACATTTTATCTTGTGGGTTCAGCTTGTTCATGTGCTTACTCAAGAGCAAATATTACACAATCTAAACCACAGGGTTATACAGAATCTCTGATTCAATTCTAGCCATTACAGCACATTAGAAATTGGAAAATTACAAAATGAACCTTAATTTCACTACTTAAAAGCAAGCAAATCCAACCAACCAAACAAGTAACTTTCTGATAAATTAGAACAAATTTCCAAATACAAAAAAAAAAAAACAAAACAAGCAATTGTCCCTGAAAGCCACAAAATATAGGCTCTGTATGAGGTCAGAGTAAAAATTCCTACAAATACAGTCTAAAATTCACGTTCGAAGTAGTTCTTTTAAAGTTCAGAATTCCGTAAAAACTTTCTCCTTCCACTATTAATAAACCACTGTCTATATATGCCCTACAGTACATGCTATTTTCTCAAATAAGAGGTAAATAAAGTACGTATTGTGTGTGCTCTCCAAGGTAAGAAAGACAGACAAACAATCAACTACTCAGGGCACTAGAATAGAGAACAAATTTATGCTTACCCAGGCTTACAAATCTGTTCTGATGTTTTATAGCATCTACTGTACCAAAATAAAATATTAAGTCATAAACACATATGACTGAGGTTACTGTAAATGTAAACAGGGATAATCCAGTCAAAAGACGGAGAAACTCTTACTGTACCTACTGTTATAAATAAAAGAATATGCATTTTTCTAGAGGCAGGAAATTTGCAGTCATAAAGAATAAGACTCTATATGTGTACTAATTGTTTAATGAGAAGATAGTGTGTTCTGTAAATCTTCATCTAAAGTACCAAAAAAAAGAATAAGACTGGTTAAACCAGAATATCAGAAAGGCTAATTCTACTATAACAGTTTGCCAGTTAAGTAAAGCCAAAGTTTAATTCAGTCTACTTGCTTTTTAGTGTCTTGCTTCTGAATGGCTTGGGAGATGCCCTGAAACTCTCAATTATATTGAAACTTCATCTAATATCTACTTGAGAGAAAAGGTAGCAACTTGTTGAAAAAATTATATTATTTTCTGGACAAAATATCAAAAGAATCCAAGCAATCTAGCATAGTCATTACCAAGATTTAGCTTCACTTTGTGTCATTTAAAATATTTTTTTTTAAATTCCTGTTTAGATGCCAAAAATTAATTTAACAATCATGGCTACATGATTTTCCCTAGAAAGTAAAGATCAAGGGTAACAGGCTTACACCTACAGCCAAGATGGACTAACAGAACCAGATTTATTCTCCGTCCTGAAACAACTCAACATTGCACTGGAGGTTCTAACCAGTGCAATTTAAAACAAAAACCAGGAATTCAGATTGGAAAGGATAAAGTAAAACTGTATTTACTGATGACATGA